GACGTAGAGGGAAATTCGTTCATACCCAAGAGCTCCTTGTAGTATCGAAGCCCACTCAACAGTTTTTGATAACATGATCTTGGCTTTCATACCTTTTTTGTATTAGAGTAGAGTTTCGAGACTACCAGTAAATCAGTAATATAAGATTTATTCACCCTATTTCGTCTGAGGTGATGAAGAACTGGTAGTAGAATCATTGTAGGAAAATTCTACTACCAATCCTTCATCACCTTAGACGAAATAAGGTGAATACATCTCATATTTCATACCTTTGACTGAATTATAAATTATGTGAGATGGATTCGCCCTATTTCATTTAAGGTGATGAAGGACTGGTAGTCAATTTTTCCCACAATGTTATGAGTAGAGCTGATGTTTCCATTGAATTGAACATATCAGTGCAGCGCGTAATCTCCACACGTTAACCACTACGCCCCATTGCCACGTCTGCCCTCAAATCGAAGGGCAGATGTGAATTACAATGAAGGCCAGGTGCTTTCCATATGACACTTTTGGGTGGGATTTTCGATGAAGCAAACATATTTTTGCTATAACAATCGACTACATTACTTATTTTTCGTATATAAAACTGATTTACTTGCAGTCTCTAAACTTTGCTTATATACGAAAAATGAGTAATTTAGTTGAGTATTATGACAAAAATACGTTTGTTTCATCGAGAAATGATATGGCAAAGGGCCTGTCCTTCCTTGAAATTCACATCTGCCCTATGACCAAAGGGCAATCGTGGCAATCTTTTCGAGTGGTTAACGTGTCAAGCTCGCATGCTGCACTGTCACGGTTCGACTCCCGCTGCGGGTGTTGACAAGACCGAGGAGAGGTCGAAACTGCAGTCCACTCCAGCCGGGATGAAAACTACTTTTGAGAAAGCAAGGCAATGTGAAATTCAATGGAAACTTCAGCTCAACTCATATCATTGTGGGAAAATTCTACTATCAGTCCTTAGCACCTTAAACGAAGTAGGGTGAATACATTTCATATAATTGATTTACCGGTTGCCTCGACACGTTGCTTATATACGAAAACTGAATTATAAATATTGTTATCATGGTCTCAGTAATGTGGCTAGCCAACGGTTCGATGTTGGAGAAAGCCATGACAACACTGGCAGTGGTCGTAGTTGGTGGTTGGGCTCTTCTAAGTCGCCTTGATACCACAAAGAAATTTCTAACTAAGGATCAGACCAAGACCTCATTCACTCTTGCTTGTGTAGCCTTCAATTCATTCGCAGAGGCGAGTGGAAGGGTTGGGCAAATTGACCCTAACGGAAGCCTAAGTTGTGCGAATAAGTTGAGGCCAATTTACGAATTTCCTTCACCCGCCTCTTCACTCCATTTCAGGACACCTCGAAACCCCGTTCTACTTAATGCTCACTTAATCTTGCCTCCAAAACGGCTTTTCGACCGGAGTGGATTTCATTTTCGACCTAGCCAGGGTATCATCAACACCCCCAAGGGATGGTCAGTGGACCACAGATTATATATGCGGCCCACAATGTGAAATAAAACGGGATCTAGTGAAAAGTAAAGTCTACTAATCAATTCATCGTGAAAAAAACAAGCGATCTATGAAAACAATAGCGATTAAAATCTGACACATCCCTACGAAACTCAGTGCCTAACTCCTGATTGGCTAAAAATACATGCTCACTAAAACAAGTAGCATTAAGTAGTATATCAAATGTAATAGCAAACAAATAGTAGCTAGGCTGTTATTTAAATTGAATGGAAACGTCAACTCTACTCATATGATTGTGGGAAAATTCGACTACCAGTCCTTCATCACCCTAAGCGAATTAGACAGAATACAGCTCTTATTCAATATTTACCGGCATTATCAAATAACTACTTATAAACCGAAAAGTAGATGTTTGCTTTACCAGCAATCCCACCAACTGACCTTCCTATAAATGTACATCTGTCCTGGGGGCAAATGGGTACTCGTGGCAGTGTGACGTAGTGGATAACGCATCAAGACTATGCGCTGCATTATCACGACTCGACTTCGAGTCCCGCTGGGGTTGCTGATGAGACCTGAATGATGCCGAACTGGCAGTCTAGTCCGACCGGGATAAGAAGACTAAATGAAATTTAATGGAAACGTGAAGTCTACTCTGATCATTGTAAAATAATTCAACATCTAACGTGACCCAAAGTGACTGGAATTTGTATTCAAGAATTCGAATCTGTCAGAATGCAAGCATTAGCCGCAGGCCAAAAAGTGCAACGGCCAGGAAAGCAGACGAGCACAGCATAAGTAATCGGCTCGGACAGAGTGTGCAAATGGGAGGGAAAAGCAGTCCATGTGATGTGATGAAAGAGGCAAATATGGTGAAGAAAGGAGGTAAACTAAGAAAGTACATGGCGAAGTGCTGAGACTCAAAGATCACGTTGGCGACATGTTCTCTGTGGTTTCGAGGTGTCGACAATTTAAATGCTTGACTCGGCCGCATTTTCGCAAACTGAATGAGCCCAGAGTGATTAATCCGTGTCTTCTCTCCACCATCAGATCGGCGGTAGACTAAGCTGTCAAAATTGCTCTGGCATCGCTGACTACGCGAAGAGAGAGAGACAATCGAGGACGAAATCCAAAGACGATCAGATGTAGGAAAGAGACATGCGAATCACACCCGCTGATGCTGAACAGGTTGTGCTCATCAAGACCACACATCATTCGTGACGTTGCTAGAGAAAAGTGGTTGACGGGGATACAACTACAGAACTCCTCCGTCGACACAAGCCGTGAATCCCAGGCTAATCCGATTCATAAAGTCTTATGCATAAAGATGGATAGCCGAGCTCTCCAAAGTCACCTCTTCACATCATCGATGACAATTCAACTTTCAGTGAATGATAAAACGACACAATAATGGTGAAGTGTTCATTGACATCGTTGTTATGAGATCAGTTGCTGAGGCAATAGGTGGCTGGTGGATAGCATAATTAGTGGATGAGATCGACCTACAAATGTGCTCATCAGGCACTTTCACACAAAATGAAGGTCACCACAGAAAG